GTCAGGTGTTCTGGCTGTCAAACTGAATTACGGCGTATCAGAGACGTCACGCGATTTCGACAACTGATGCGTGTATTACTTATAAAAATATTATAATTATAAAATGGAATGAAAAATTCATCTGTAAAGTTGAAATGGAATTGCAAGGGACGGAGTTAATCGATCAGGATCGATTCTCTACGAAAATTTCATCGAGTGGAAATAACGGTACAAGGGGAGATAATTACGCAAGGGACAAGAAATCCCGGCGACCGCAACGGCACCAGTCAGCGGAAGTTGGTCACGTCGCAGTCCGTGGAACAACGAATAAATCAGCCAAACTTCTCTCGTTATCTCTGATTACTCGCGGAACCTCGGCGCGGGTTATCCACGAATTCGTGAGATATTCCGGTTGCTTTGCTCGCACGACTCACGCCTCGACTTTCCCGGTGGTTCGTGATTCGTGATTCATAATTCGTGATTCTTGATTCTTGATTCTTGATTCTTGATTCTTGATTCTTGATTCGTGATTCGAGATTCGTGGTCGAGAAGGAAAGACGTGCCCCTTCGAGATTAGCCTACGACGAATCTGCCGTAAAAATAACTGATGCGACACTCGTCGCGTGTGTTATCGGAGGACGGCGGCTTTTCATGCACTTACGTGTGTCTATACGCCGCGGCGATTGTACATCGATTAGCCGTTCAGACGAGTCCCTGAATGAACCGAAACATCGCTGAACCTCGCATGGAGGTTCCTATACGCTACTTTGTATTCCTTTTCAGGCGGCGCGGCTTTCCTATCGTAAATGTCCTTCCTAACTGTAAGCTAATCCAGCAAGTATTCCAGCAACATTCATTTCCAAAACTGCGAATTTTCGTACTCGACTTCCATCACTTGTAATTACTTGTAATTACTTGGAATTACTTGTAACACACTGAAAAGATGAAACTCGAGCAGTTAGATGTAATTTAATAATAATTTCGGTAAAGGGTAAATATTTTCATTGGAGCTAATTTCCTCGTGAAAACTATAATATATCGAAGCGTTTTGCTTAAAGACTTAGTTTGCTGTCACGCGTTAGTCCAGCAATACGAAAGTGACGAGAAATGGTTGCGCACGGTAGTCCAAGTACGCGAACGTTCGGGACGACTGACAATCAGATCTACGCGTCCAGGAAGATGAAAGGGGACCGAGCGGAGAACACGAAGAGCCTCGCCATCCCCAACGGGGCGCCTCTTATTTCGCTCGTTTCTCGTTCCTTTCTATTAGCTACGATTTCAAATTCCCTTCAGCGATATTGCTCCTTTCCTTTGACTGCCGCCCGGCGACGGACGATGGGCTTTACGATGGGCTTTACACTGGGTTTTCGCCAGGGTTTTCGCCGGGGTTTTCGCCGGGGTCGTCAGAGGAGTTCCAGCGACGCTCTGCGCCCCGGAAACTTTCGAGGGGCGACGTCTTAAGTCGCTAAATAAAAGATTCAGCCCCGACTACTCCCCGAACGCTCGTTCTTCGACGCCTGTCGTTCCTCTTTCTTCTTCTCGCGGTCTTTCATAGTCGATGCCGATTTCTGTCTCCGTGCTGCGATCATTACGATGAAATTGGGCCAGAGGGTTTCTTCTCTTCTCACGTGTACACAGTAACCTACATAGCAGTTAACTACCCTACTGCTGCGAGGGAATCAGACTCACAGGATACATTGAAATTACATTGACTCGGAAGGATCGTTCCGAGCATGGTTCGTCGGTGAAATTAGTCGAGCTACTTTCATCTGTTATTTCATCGTTTCAGTACCGACATAGAATACTGTTCGTGTCACAGTTAGTCCAACCACATCCTTCGAATGACCGATCACCTTCTTCGAACGCGCGAAGAGCGTTATCTCTCCTTGCGAATCCTTTCTCGGGCAATTCCTTTCTCGTTCTCCGAGTCGCATGACTATGCGACGCAGGACGTGACGCGGCGATCTCACGTGGGACCGAGGAACGATGCACACGCGGCTGTCGTGTGGGCGAAACGGACGCTGGAGGAAACATCTGCAAAATGTTCGTTCGGTCGCGGCAGTTTCGAACGGAATCAATATTCCGGCGCAACTTCCGTGGCACCGTTCCGCGATATCGGGAGGGAATCGAAGGTAACCCTGCCACGGCTCAACTTTGCGATCCCGCTTTATTAACGAGATATTACTTTCCGGGGGAATATCGGGCCAGCCAGGATTCCGGGTCGATGCTCGTTATCGAGCGTGATCAGGAATCGGTTTAATTCTAACGAACCAATTACCCTCGGAGCCAGTGTGTAATAAAACGTTCACGACGGGAGAATCGGGGACCCGGGACCTCAGAGGACACGGGGATCTTGGAGCGACACGGCCTCGAGATCGATTAATTGAAAGCCGTCGAAAGACGGATAGCACGGGAACGAGCAAGGGGCGACAACGATTACACGCCGAGCCTCGTATCTAGAATTTCATTACCCATGTACATAGTATGTAATATATTTAGTCAACTTCTCCGTCTATGTGCAGTATACTGTTCTAGTTTTCTGTTCCAAGTAATTTATTTCCGATGATAACATGAAAACAAGTTGCGATCGCGTCGGTTAACGCGCCAATCGACAAATATACACGACGTCTGCATTTATCGGTATCCGTGGAACAACTTTTAGGCGTGATTGCAATATCAGAATTTGACTCAGGTGCGAAACGATAACTTGCCTGGAACGGGCTCTAGTGGCTCTGTTCCTTTCCTTTCGTTAATATTCTTTGCGCGGCATAATGAATCATCTAGCTCAGCGACGTTCTTCGTTGTCTTCGTTTCCCTCGCATTTTTGCGTCACACGGATGCCCACGTGTGTCCCCGGTCGCCTACTCCGCGTTGCCTCCGACAATCCATTCACGGCAGATTCTCTATCGAAGCTAATAACAGCCGTAGTACTACGTTCATTCGCTTTCGAAGGGAACACGGGGGCGGTCATCCTCGATAAACGCGAAATGCGCGTCATCAATGAACCCTGCCAGTATTCTCCTACCCTGCGACGCGACCAACCAAGGAACCTTCACCCTTCGTTACTACAGAGGGTCCGTTCAATGTCCAATTACTAAAATCGATAAACAGACATTAGAGGTTTGCTGGATTTTTTGTAACAATCGTACAAGCTTAAAGGCCCGCAGGAGCGAACGATTAAACGTCTCGAGCGGCCGCGATGCGTCAATTTTATCGACACCTTCGACCTTTCCCTCCAACCCCGAAAGGGTGGCGATGGTGGCGATGGTGGCGATGGTGGCGATGGTGGCGATGGTGGCGGTGCTGGCGACATTGGCGACATTGACGGCATTGGCGACCGGGTAGGTGGCTGAGGAACGCGTTTCCGTTTGTCGCGTCCCGGAGACAAAGGTGGGTATCCGTTTAATGGTCGATCGTTGGAGAAACCGTACTCTCTTGCGCGAGCACTAAAACCAATGCGCAGAGGCGGTGGCATATCCGGCGCAACGGCTGGCTGCCCTAACTGTTGCGTTTCGTTCGTAGAAGGAGCGGCCCGCTGCGACCGCCGCGCAAGTTATTAACGACAATCGATCTAATTTTAATCTCATCTCTCGCCCACGCCGCCGCGATTCTCCGGGGGAAAGCCGAGGCGTCTGATCGCGCGACCTCGCTGGGGACACTGCTCCTGCCGCGACGCTATTGGCTCGCGCTCGCGGCATCAACGGAAAGCCTCCTCACCCACCATGTCGAGGGAAATGGTGGGAGCCGGCGGATCTCGGTTGTACGGGGCAAGGGGCGCCTTGATCGAACAGCGACGCGAGGGGAAGCGGTCTTCTAGCTGGAGGGAGACAGAGTTCTAGTTCGCTTTGGCTAAAGGAGTCAGGTTGTTGGACGTTGCTGGAGAGATGGTGATGGACGTTGCACTGTGCGAGAGGGGAACGGATGTGTAGCGATGGATATTGCTATTCGAGCAACTGTTCAACAGAAGAGCACTCGATCGATCGTTTCCTGCAGATTTTTCCATGAAACTCGCCGATTTATTCTACTTTCATTCGGTTTACTAGCTTCAACCGTTTACCCATCTTCCGATATTCGGAACGGAGAACCGGAAGGATCAATTCGAGGCATGCACGGTCCTCGGGAATGTTTGTCGCACAGTTGGGAACAAGTGCTCGAAAGTCACAGCGTCCACCGTCAGGCTTCGAGCCAGCTTCGCCGAACGCGATCAACGATTCAGCGACAACTCGGCGAGGGAAGGTGATACCTCGAGCCTTTTTCCGTTCCCCGGAACTGCCGCAAACACTGAAACCGTGTTCTCGGTGTACCGACGGCAACCCTCGATTGTTCGAACTTACACTGCACCGGTAGCCATCGCTGCGGGTGCCATCGGTGGGAACGCATCGCACGATGAAACGGAGCGACCCGACGGTCAGACGGAGACGACGCTACGCTGTTGGGGAAAGAGAGACGGAGAGAAGTCGCTGCGCCGATAAGAGAGAGAAGCCGTTCTGGAAAATCGAGTGGCGGGGAGGGTTCGGTGCGTCTGGTTGGAGGAGGACAGCGTCCCGTTGGAAGGGGACAAAGAGGAGAGTGATCGCGCAGCAGGAAAGCTGGCCGCCGGGCGCCATACTGCTTTCATTCGTTCGGCACAGTACGCG